AAGATCTTTATAGACTATATTAACTAGTTATATCTAATAATATTAGGAAAGATAAATAGTAAAATAGTATTAAACTCTTAAATATAAAAAGTTCTTATAGAGTATAAGAAGAAAGAAGAAGAAAGAGAAGAAGAAAGAATATATATTTATCTACTTATATATACTTATATAATAGACTAGAATATATTAAAAACTAGTTAGGAACTAGTTACTATATTTATAGACTAACCCTACCTTATATAAAAAGTAGCTATCTCTTTCTTAAGTTTAAACTATACCTTTTATAATTTAAATAGTGCCTTTTTCTATATAAGTTCTTCCTTATTTACCTCTAGCTTTTCTTTTCTCTCCTTTAGAGCCTAATTACTAAGAAGAGCCTTTTATTATAAAGTTTATAGTTATAGACTAATAATAAGTTAGGAATATATTATAAACGTGTTTTGCAAAGCATACCTTTAGGTTACTATTAGTAGAGGAGAAGAGCCTAGTAGTAGAGAAGATAGAAAAGGGGCTAGTAAACTTCTTTCTAATACTACTCTACTACTTGCCCTCTAGCTTTAGGCTTTTAAGCGTGCTCTTTTATTTCTTATTAGGACTAAGATATATCTAGTTAAGTTAGATATAGCAAGACTTACTTTATTATTATTTAGAGTATTATTATTATTATAGGACGTGTTCTAAACACGTTCTAAACACGTTTTAATTAGCAAATATATATAACGCTAGCGTAAGACTTACTTTCTCCCCTCTAAAGCTTTTTAAGGTACCTTTGCTTAAGCCTATTAGGAGTTCTATAGTTATAGCATATTCTAAACTTGCTCTAGGCTTTAAACTCTTTTATATCCTATAGATCTATCTAGTATACACTATATAATATTACTTATATAATTCTAATAGGTTAAGAATAGGTTATAAACTTACTTCTAAGTGGCCTTAAGAATACTTATATACTTACTAGTTTTATATCCTTTCTAGCCTACTTGCTTAGCTATATTTAAATAAGATTCTAGTTTTTCCTATACCTCTTTTAATATTTTACTATAGTATTGCACAATCCTAGTAGTAATTACTAGGTTTTTCTTATAGATTACCTAGTTTTAGGTATCTTTAGAGGGTTTGTGTTCTAATTATATAAGAATAAGTTAGGAACACATTTAGAATAGGTTTAGAATATATTTACTTACGTAAGAGGAGGTTAGTAAGCTAAAAGTATTCCTCTGCTATTAATACCTATAGTAATTTACTTAGATATAAAGAGGTAGTATTATCTAGCTCTCTTTTATATACTTTGTAAATACTTCTTTATAGATATACTTAATAAAATCTTATATAAGATTAAAGTTGCTAGCGCTAGTCACGCTTATAGGGATTAATTAACTAGAGATAGCGCCTAAGTCCTAGAAACAAGTTAGAAACATGTTATAAACAGGTTATAGTGCGCTATAAAACTTGCCTATTATCTACTTATTACATATATTAATAGTAGTCCTATAGAATCCCTATAAGTAAATATGCCTCTATAACACTTGTCTTTTTATAAGTGCTTCACACTTCTAAAAGAAGTTAATAATAGCAACTTAATATATCTTAGTTATATCCTTATCTATAATAATTTAGCTAAGTATAATAACTATAACGTGTTAGAAACGTGTTATAAACCTATTCTTAATATATACACTTCTTTTCCTATAGGTAGAAGATTACTATTAGAATCTCTGCCTATGCCCTATATAACCTCTTATATAATATATCTATCTAGAATATGTCTTAATCTAATAGAATTAATGCCTACTCTTTAAAAAGGTAAATAATTAAGTTACCTAAGCTTAATATAAAGATTTGCTATATATACGCCTATAGTAATATATTAGCAATATATTCTAAACCTATTCTCTTATACTATATATAGTTTTAGGATCCTAATACTTTATCCTCTACTTATAGTATACTCCTCTAAGGCTACTCTTAAATAAGAACTATAGAAGCTTTTCACGCTTTATAATACGCAAGATTTTATCTTTATTTGTAAAGCTAATATACATTTCTTTAATAGAATAGAAACCTTTAAGTTAGAGATAGGTTTAGAGCTAGGTTAAGTTTAGGAACTAGGCTATAATAAGTTAGGAATATATTTATAACAGGTTATAAACAACTTATATTACGTAAGCTATAGAGTAAGCATAGGCTATAACACCTTTACTACTTCCTTAATATTACTATTAGATAGTGTTAAGGGAGGAGGAGGTATATATATATATATACTAAAAGAAATAATAGTAAAAAAAGGTATTACTACTATATCTATTAGTATAATTACTTAGAAGGTAACTTTATATAGGATTTTAAATAGAGATCCTTACCCTTATAGATAATTAACGCCTAGAACATGTTAGGAACGTGTTAGGAATAGGTTGCAATATACCTACCACACTTCTTTATCTAGCTTAACTGTGGCTTAACTATAGAATATAAAGCAGGACTACTAGAAAGATTTAATATCTCCCTAGTTAGAAGACCTTATAGATATATAGAGTCTACCTCTAGTAGTACCTAACTAAAATAATATTTTTTCCTAGTAGTAGATATTAGGCTATAGTTCTAATAGCTAATATATAGTTAAGCCTATTCTATAATTTACTAACTTATTATTAATATATTTTAAATATATTTAAGTTTTACTCCCTACCTAATTTACTATAGTCCTTATTATAGGATAATAAGATACCTAGTAGTCCTTATAAATCCTTAAAGAGAAGCGCTTAATAAGGCTATAATAATAGCTTCTTATTTATAGTTCTCTTTATAAAATTTTCTTAGGTACTACACTTTTTAAGGTTTAGATCTAATTATATAATACGTTATTAATAATATAATAAGAACATGTTTATAATATATTCTTAAGATACTTATATACTTTTACCCTAGAGTATTAGTATTTATACTAGCTTACTAGCTAGCTATTAAAGAATAGTAAAGTTGTAGGCCTGTTAAGATAGATAGACTAGTAGGAGTATTATACCTACTAGAATTAGAATAATTTAAGAACATGTTCTTAACGTGTTACTTATATAGCCTATATAAGCACCTCTTCTCTTATTAGGTAAGAGCTATCTTTATATTGCTAAACTAGTATTATATACCTATACCCTTAGCTATATAATTAAGGGTATACTAGGAGAATAGCTATATACTTAATAATTACTAGTGTAAGTAGTAGTCCTTAACTATTACTATAAGTAAGGTATATATTATGCCCCTATAACGTGTTACTAACCTATTCTAAACTTATTCTATTTACTTTTACTTACTTCCTTAATACTACTACTACTATCCTCCTCTAGCACTTTATATAGTTACCTAAATTTATCTCTAATATTACTATCTAGTTTAGATATATTATCTAGTACTACTATACTAAACTCTAGTATAGTATTTAGGAACGCCTATATATTATTAAGAATAGGTTTAGAACATGTTTAAAAAAGATAGTAATAAAAACTATATTTACTTACTTAAATTACCCTAATTTATACTTAACTATAGGCTAGTTTATATAACTATAAAAATTTGCCGCTGTGACGTGGACTTGAACCTACAGGGATATTCTAACTACTCAGAGTAAAGCCCAAGTCGCCCGACGCTAAACCCATGGTTATATGACATGCCACCACCACCACAGACTAGCAATCTCAATCCACCCTATCCACCTGGCCCACTCCCCCCCTCCCCCCAAAAGAACAAGACAAGGTGTCTTGAAGCGCGCACAGCCGAGAACAAGCATGCCAAACGTCAGATCACTAGTTCCCCTGCCACCCAAATGCCAACAACCATGCATGCCACCACCAGATGCCACCAGTGACCAGTGACTAGATGCCACCAGGATGCTTGCTGCGGACGCTCTCAAGGGGAATGGCGTCCGCGTGATGCTGGTCCATTGTATCCCTGGTCCCTCTACAACCTCCTACCCGATGCACATTGCGCGAGAGTGTAGTAAGCCTTCAGGCGCGGCGAGACGTGCAGGCGGTACTGCGGTCTGCTGTAGTCTAGGTGGTGGTAGGGTCAGGCTTGGTAGTAGGTAGTGTCGTTTAGGCCACGCACTCTCGGCGGTAGATTGGGTGTGTAGGTGGGTGAGAGAAGGCAGACAGGTACCGGTAGGGCAGCTTATATATCTCCATCCCACACCGGCTCTCGCTCTTGGGCCTGCTGGTTGGCTGAGTTTACCACGACCTTTTTGCACCACACCCAGACGTCGTTGCCATTGTCGTCGTCAACAAGTCGTCAAGTCGTCGCTTCCCTTTTGTTGAAGCAACAAGCACACACGCACACACAACACACGCACACAAACCATTCAACACATCGCCATACAGTCTACCGTCCACCGCAATCCACGCCCGACCCTCCACACGGCTGTTCATTCTCGGCCACCAGCATTCTTAACACTACCACTACCATTACCACTACCATTACCACTACTACCACCACTACCACCACTACCACCACTACCACCACTACCACCACTACCACTACCACTACCACTACCGCCATACCGCTGTGGTTCTCAACTGCACGCACCTCTGCTGTACCCACCCATTCACCCACCCCATCTCACCTCTCACACCCGCACACACCCACACAACAAAGCACCCCCTCCCCGCCCGCAGCCTGCATTGGTCTTCAAGATAACACCCACCTCTCTGATACGAGCACGTCTCGCCCACCAAAACTCAACCTCACTCTAGACGAGCCAGTCAGTCCACTCTGGGATCCGCGCTCCTGCAGGTTGCACAGTAGCCCACTTTCCCAGACAAAGCCAATCCAAACATCGACCTTTGGAATTCACGGCTCCCCTCACAGCCAAACACACCTCCCTTCTTCCCAACCGCTGTACCTATACAAACATCACCTTTTTTTTTTGCTTTCTTCTCGTCCCCCATCCACAACATCACCGCCCCCCGGCCATGCCACACTCCGTCAACCATTCGACGTCGACGCAAACCAAAATGTCCCGTCCCTCCTCTACCTCGACCTACTCGGGTAACAACCAGTTCCCCATGCCCGCAGGCGTGTCCCTGCTATCGCCAGAAAAGGTGGGCGAGCAGCTCTCACCTGCACAATCCACCTTTTCCTTTGCATCCACCCCTCGCTCCGTTCAAGATGTCGACCACGACGACTCCCGCCATCTGCATCCCATGGGTCGAGGCACCACTGGCGATGCCACCGGTTCATTGCGTCCCAGATCCTCCCGTTCCCGCGCACAGTTCTACGAGGATTCGTTTTCCTACAAGGATGGCATTCCTTCGTCGGCTCGCGATCGCGTTACCAAGGATGCTCCAATAGTGGCTGAGCTGCGGACGAACGTGATCGTACGTCTTCCCTCTCCATCTCGCGCCAGGCTCCACATTTTGCATCGAAAGACTAACCCAACGTAGATCAAGGACGAATACACCCTAGTCACCGACTTGTCGCATCATCTCTCGACGCGCTATCAACGTCCGGAAACAAGCATTATGATTACCGTCAATCACTCGGCCTGCCTGCTGCTTGGCGGTTCCTTTGAGCCCACCTACATTCTCGCCATCAACGCCCTCCCCGTCCAACTTCAACCCACGACCAACAAACGCAATGCCGCCATGATCCAGACGTTCATGGCCGAGTCCATTGGCGTATCGCCAGAACGCGGCATCATCAAGTTCCTGCCCATTCCCGAAGACAGTCTTGCCATGAACGGCATGACCATTCTCGGCGAAATTGAGCGATTGGAGCGCCAGCATGCAGAAGAGTCGGGCAGCAATGTCAAGCGCGTGGTGACCAAGGCCTCGCGGAAATCGGCCATGTACAAGGCAAAGAGTAGCATGGCGCTCTCTCGCAAGAGTTCCAAGGCTAACCAGGACCCAAGAGCAGTCGTCTCGTCTTCGATTCCTGCTGACGGACCACTCGACTCGGGCATAGCCATGAATGAAAAGGGCATCACCGAGCCTGCATCTGCAAAGGTGGATAGCAAGGTCGGCCACAAGAAGTCGGAACCGACGCTGTCCAAGTGCAACAAGCCATCCAACTCGCTCGCGGCTTTCACTCCGCCGCCCATTCCCGCCGACAAGGCACCTGCGCCAGGCATCGGCAAGCGGAAGAGCTTTTTGAGCGTCTTCCGTCGATGAGGGCAGCGCTGTACAAAGTATGGGCAAACTTCCACCGGCCTGGTGCATCCCGCACTTTGTCGACAGACCACATCCACACGGCACACTGTACACTTTTCCTATCATTTTGCTACGTCTTTTGTTCTGCATCTGCATTCGATAGAGGGGGGCTGGGGCGGACACAAACGGGCATACAGATATCCCAGGCATCACTGGCGTTTGGTTCGGCATGCGTAGCTGGAGTTTTTGATTTTCCAAAACCTCATGACTACGTTCTTCACCACTTATACCCTTTCCTACAACTTTGTTCTTACCAATGCAATTCCACATACATGTCGAGACACCGCTATCTAGTCAGATATAAAAGATTTCTAATACCACCATGACCTATCCTCGATCAAACAAATGAAACCCCCTTCCTGCCACGTCATGAAGTTATCCATCGTCTAGCCCAAAGCAAGATGTTGAGGCTTGCGCAGACGAGACTTTGGTAGCGACACCCACAGTCATGCCATGGTACAGTACGGCAATCCCGAAAAGAAAAACCCACACACACACACACAGACACACACACACACCACCACCAGAGGACGGCGGTGCAGGTCTCAAGCGAAGGCGACGAAGCAAGCTAATCCCTACTCTACCCCATGTAATGCATGTAATGGAAGACGATCTAGCCGACTGGTCGCAAGGCCCCCGTTCAGCCTCGTCGCGCACCCCGCGGCTCTCCCTCGGCCCTTTTTTGTAGCCACTGCACATGGCAGATGTTAGTTGTGTAGACATGCATGTACACACATTGATCACGCTTGGAGACGAACACATGGATGCATGCAGGTATAGGTTTTGTTCCACGTATGCGCATACTCTTGCACATGCGTGTTCGTACGAGGAGTACAGTAGATTGTTGTAGAGAATTGTTGATGTCTTTGTCGAGGAAATCATAGAGACACACACACACAGAGGTATACCTACCGTACCGGTACTGGTCATCTATCCATGAAATCCATGAAGAAAAAAACGACCTACTCACAAACACATACCTACCTAGCGCCAGCCACACCCTCCCCGGCCCCAACCCAAGACCCAGGGTCTAGATGCCCACACAAACGATCCCTGGCACAATCATGCACATGTTTCAACAAGCTGCATCATGGCGTGACTGCCGATACCTACCCGTTCCTATTTGTCCATCTAGTATCCATAGCATGATAGCATGATGTAGGTCGGGGGGTGGTACCCATCTCCTTCCCCACCTGATGAAATCCCCCAATTTCCCAGCTTCGAGGTGTGTGTGCGTGTGTGTGTGCGTGTGGGGGAGGGGGGTGTTTGTGTCACTGTAAGACAGTGTTAGACAATGTTGAGATATATGCGGGGGTCAAGGGGAATGAGGGGGTTGTAAGACATTATCAGGCGATGGTAGGGAAATTGTACAGAGGAGATTCACGTGTGATGTGATGCGGATGGCTGCACAAGTCATGACAAAAGTGCGTGAGGAGTGGGTTTGTGCGGGAGGAGAAATTGTTGGTAGGGGCTTGTTGGGTGAGACATGTGGGGATGTGATTTGCATGTGGCTTGGGTATGGGTAGGTACCGGTATGGGTGCGGTATGGACACATCTTGAATCGTTGAACCTCTCCCCACGGTACCGTACCTAGCCTTGCTCATGTATGTTGGTCACTTTCATCACACACACATACCTACTGTGCTCAGTAGGTACAGTATGTCTGCATATACCTATTGTACAATGTATATAGCACTACACCCACCATGGGTGCTATCTACCGGTACCCCACTCACTCTCCTAATCGTTGCAGCCTGTTGCAGCCCACCTCAAGAGCCAAGTTCGTGCACACAATCAACACCCGCACCAAAGTCCGTGGTTGAAACGACAGCGTACGACGCCTGCACATGCGCTTTCTCAAACACGCGGTGTACGACGGTGGGCTGGCTTGGGAAGCTCATCTCGGGGCTGGGTGTCCACGGTATGTGGAGGGGGATGTTATGCTGTTATCTTCCCAGCCTACCGTACGGTAGGCACCGTACCACACAGATGACATAGCAATAGCATGTGCAGAGAAACAATGCCCATCTACACGACTGTGATTGCCAATGCTCAACCCCCCATCTATCATCTACTCAACCCTTCAGATCCTCGCCCTTCACCATCCCAATCCCAATCCCAATTCCTGCTCACCGTTTGTCTTGCGCACAACGATCGGCATGGCGATAACCGTATTCTGGAGAGGCTGGTGGGGTGGGTGCCACTGCATTCATGGAACACCTTGCTTTGACTACCTACTACTACCTACCACTACCTACCTACCTACCTGCCTCCCTACCGAGTACGATACGCTAGCTCGTAGGTCAAGGGGATCTACGCGGAGAAGGTTCGCGGGGACGGCGGTTTATTTTGGCGTCTGTCCGTAGCACTGATGCCCGTTCAGAACCGCTGGACTGGAATTCGAGAAGTTCCTGGTGGGCTTATCATTCTATTGGCCGGTACTGTAGGCCGTATGATCACGATGCAATGAGTGCAGGATTGATGTAAAAGTCATTATATCAAAATAAGAAGCCTTAATTTGGGAGCCTGGTCATGGGGAGGTAACGGTAGCTACTGATAGCTACAAGACTGTCCCTCGCCGTACCACGGCCACTTCTGAGTATATCCCACACACTGCTCGACTTCAAAGACAAATTCGGGGATGCTCATCAAAGTGAGACTACCCCGCTTCTCGCAGTCTTCTTCAACAGCGTCTTTGGCTGCTTTCCAGACTTTTGCCGGGATCACTGCGTCTTCTGCCACCAGAAGTCCTTCCAAGTTCTTTCGATTCGACTGCAGGTTATCTTTGGCAGTTTGAAGAAGTTTTCCAAGTAAAGCTGCTTTGGCAATTGATCGCCTCCTTTTAACAAAGAGGTCCGGCAGCGCCAGATCCTACAGTTTGTACCATTCAGCCAGAGACCGAAATGGCCGGTACTCTGCTGGTTCGTTTTCGAACATGTTGTGGCCTGACAACGGATGAGGTCTGCCTTGAGCAGCTCGGGGGTGAATGGAAGTGCCTGGCCATATGTTATTACCATGGTAGATTTATGTAAAACAACATGGATACCCAATATTTTGCTCGTGCAATATCGTTTGCACTCTAGTCGTACTTGGTACCGTTTTGAGTGAACGAGTAAACTCCAGTGAGTGCACGACAACCTAAATGTCTGACACTGTGAAAACCGAAGACAGTTCACAACATACCACATGTTTGGTGTAAGAAACTCAAGACATTGACGCAGTCCATCACACCCAAGTGACAAAAATTACCATAGAACCTCGTCGAACTCTGTTTCCACACAGTGTCCTCACCATTATATACTACCTGATCATGTGATACATAGGACTTACCCGAACTTTCACTCCCCATCATCCCTTCACTACACCGTGCCCACATAATGTCCACTTGTTGCCACCAGATGCCCGCTTGGTACTTTCACAAGTGTGCACGAGCGCGATGTTCACCTACATCTTCAGATTCGCCGGATGATATACAGAGGTTCATCATGCTCCCTTTGGCTTTTCCCCAGATCACTGCATTCTGCAATATCAAAACCTCAACCAACCTTGTTCACCCATTTCCGAAAGAGTTTAGAACATCTAAACTACTAAAACAACAATCATTGCAAACATGCAATCCACACCACAAACCTTCACTCGCCAGTGGCCACAGGCAGCCGCTCGGCCCGGACACCATGTCCCCGGCAAAGCTAAGTTCCACGAACGATTCAGCATAGCCACAGTTGAAGATGCTCCAGAATGGGAGCTGACCCCTCGTGAGCCACCCATGGTCATGCGTGCGCTGCCTCAAAATGCGCCAACGAGCACGCGCGGCATCACCACCGAGAAACATGCATGCGTCCCGCATGTATCATCCTTCTTTTCTTCCCTTTTCTCACTCCGGCGACACACTGAGCAGCCGCCACTAGTATCGCCGGCTCAAAGCCAGAAGGACAAGCCGTTGCCTCCCCTGCCACAGGAGGCCTTGGATCCCTCTTCTTTGCCCGAAGCCCCCATCCCTCCACCATGTGCTGTGGTCCGACAGGAGCGCATGACCCGCGCAGAAGGTACTCGTGTACGAGATACACGCTTCTCTCGGCCACAGAAGCCTGCTTCGAACCCCAATCCGCTGGTACGCCGTCCGCGTGTACCTCGTAGGCGACTCGCGCCAGTGGTAGAAGAGCAGGCGTTCAAACACGCTTTGAACTGCGACTTGAATCATCATCCTGGTGGTGAGGCAGATTCTTACTATCAGGATCACCCACTCCAGGCTCAAGTCCAGGATGTAGAAAGCTGTGCATACGTGGAGCTGCCGTTTCTCGTTACATCACACGCGTGGCAAGGCACACGAACCCTTTCTGCACACCCCCCTCGACCCCTTTCCTTTGAGCGTTCAGAGCTCACGCCCATCCTTAAAGCTCCGACTACCTCCATCGATGCGGAAGACTGCATGAGTCTGCCATCGTGCCCACCACGGATCCCGTCTCTCGTGTTCTCAGGCTTGCCATTGTACCCGACAGAACCTACGGGGAACGGTGATGTTGAACACGTCAATGACAACATCCAGGAGGTACGACCGATGGATCAAGGATTCTTGCTTGGGCAGTTCCCGGAGAACGAGAGCGGTGGTGAAGATGGAGGGGAGACGGATGGGGAAGTGTGCAACTATGATATCACCTTCTCTCCGGGGGATTCGTCCAGCGCGTGGTCAGAGGGCAGTAATATGACACTATTGCCTGACACCCCAAAGTCATGTGCCGACTCAGCTTACCACTCCATAGGCCATTCATAGGCCGAGAACGGGAGAGCTTCGTCTTGCAGCATGAGCGAGGGGTTGCTGAGGTAGCTGAGTAGAAAAATGGCAATGGGTTTCCGCCCGCGTAGGGTTTGCGAGAAGAGTTCCCAATGCAAAAGGGATAGTTTATGTCAAGGCGAGTTAAGGCCTTGAGAGGCTGTTGACGCAATTCCCATTGGACACTTTAAAAAAAATGGAGAGAATGGGGCGATATTTCTCCGTAATTTTGATATTTCTGGAATCTCTGGAATCTGTCGTCAATTTCCATGTTATGAAGTAGTCTAAATTTACCTTGATTACATCCTGCTAGTTCCCACAATCTCCCTTTTTCCTATGTTGGAATCCAGGGGCGAGCCTTCATGGAGATATAGTGCCTCGAAAAGTTTGTATTGGGATGCGGTTAGATTTGAGTCTGCTTTGTGGTAGTTGGGAAGATGGATGCACTGGTACCCATGCAGTGAGATTAATGCAGCTAGACGGCGCTTGGAGACCCTCTGGATCTCAGTGTGCTTTCTAAAGTGGTGGGGTCTGATGAGATTGGAGCCATAGTGCTGACGCTGTACACACTGTTGGGTCAGCGGTTAGATTGATCCGAACATTCTTAGGGCAGAACGTGGGTTACCGGTAGGTGTTGTCAGCGCGATTCCCAAAAGCAGCCATCCTTCCTCTCAGGGTCACTTGCCTAGTCGATCATGGTACGGTGCAGAGTATTTCGACCACGTTCAGAGCCCATTCAACAGAGACCACCGCATGGGAGTGGAGACATGGTGGAGACATTGCCGTCGATCAGGTTGCGACGTCCTCATTTTGCACACGAGAGTAATAGCGAAAGCCCCGATAGAGTAAGTTCAAGCCTTGAGCAGTCTTCGTTTGCAATAACCGCAGTAGTCCCGTGATTACTCCTATTCTCACCAGCACCGTGGCATCACCAATGACCGAGGAAGATTTGGTACAGGGAGGACATGGATGAGCCCAAGTACTGCCGAGCGGTGCCTATTTTGGGCGCAAAACGCGTTGAGGAACTGTTTCGTGGTGGAGGAATTTCGAGGGAGTGGTAGGTAGGTAGCATTCGATTGTCGAGTTTCGATGCTGTGGCGGTGCTCTTGTCGCTTATTCCCGTTTCCGGTAACGTTTCCGGGACCGGTAAAGTAGGTGGGATGAACTCTGAACCCTTTGCGTTTGGACTTGATACTGTCGTTGGCATGCTCCGCACGACCTAGAGGATACGGTAGGTACCGGTATAGCACATGGGTACGGTAGCTGGCGACTTTACTGTACAATCCAGGTCTTTGAATGCGGCCGATGACGAACTGTCACGGGGGGCCTGAGGGGACAACCCCCCGCGTACCTGGCCAGGTACCGTAGTGTTCCCTAACCTACCGTAGGCACCAGCCACACCCGCCCAATGCACCGCGCTCTTCCTTTTGGACCCACGATGGTACCGGTACAGCAAGCACAGTCCAGAAAGTCGGGGGTTCATCCCACCCACCCCCCAAATGCGCCGCGGCGATACATAGGCGGCAGCGGCACTTCTGCTGGCTGCAGCTGCTTGATGCCTCTTTTCGCTTCTCCGCTTGATCGCTGTGGATTCCAATCCTTCTCGCTGCTAACAGGACCTGCTTGACCCTGCTTACCGGTACCTCTCCTTTCCGCAAGCAGCTTGGTTTCATGCGACTGTGATTGTAGACAAGTGTGGGATATAGTGGGAAGACATTGGCATTTATTTGAGGAATACTGGGATTTGGATTTGGGCCATTAAAATCGAGGTTGGAATTTTTTGTTCATTGGATTACAACATGGAGGTATGTCGAGGGTTGGGTGGTGGATTGGGCAAATGGTGGAGCTCACACTACATTCCAGAACACCGATATAGAACGATACAGCGACGCGAGGCAACACTCACGCAGCACATCCCTTACGCCCTCTCAAGACAGTTCGGCCATCAAGCCCCCCACCCTAGAACAGCACCACGAGCCACAACCACCAGCCTACCGGTACACACACGAAGAACCCTACCAGGACGGCCCACAGACACCACCCACCGCCATAATACCCACCACGCATACCATTGCGCCGCAAACTTCATCAATCTACACCCCACAAACCCACCACATTGACCTCCCACCCCACACCCACCCTTGTACCAACGCCTCGACGCTCCCCACGCCAAACGACGACGACGACGACGACGACGACGACGTCCCCCTCGCACAGCTCTTCGTCCATCCCGACCCACACGACCTTGGCCCGCAAGATCTGTACCCTCTCGAAGCGCCGCCCTCGTACTCGGTCGCCATCTGCGATGCTCGTCACATCCAATCCCAGCGCGGAGTACTTGTCCACTATGTGCGCCCCCACCACGTCTACCTACCGCGCGAGAATTACGACGAGGAGGCAGACTGGGATGAAAATGGCGATCGAGTAGACGATGTGAGGCACGACGTGGAGAAGATTGTGGCCATGTTTGTCGTTGCATTCATGTTGCTGATGGTGTCGGGCATGTTGGCGTGGATGGCGTTGGGAAGTGGCTTGTTTGCTTGAGGTAGGAGAGTCTGGTGGGGATGGGAGAGAGAGAGAGAGAGAGAGAGAGGGATTTTGATATGTGGGACAATGGATGGCAGGGGTTTTGATTTTCTCCTTCTCTTCTTCTCTTCTTCTCTTCTTCTCTTCTTCTTTGTCTTGCTCTTTTTGGTTTGGAGGATGGAATGTTTAGGATTATGATACCAGAGTGTTGTTACAACGCTTTCAAAACTTGATTGGGTGGGAAGGGGCGTCTGTTTCCCTTTTTCTTTGGGGGGTAGGGGGTTCAGAATTACTGCATTGGGTGGATTACATGGTTCTGGGAGACAGCGAACCAGACAAGATGCTGTGGCTATCCAGTTCACTCACCCTAACGAATAACATTGCTTACTCGCACTTACTTGTTCCCTCTCTACACGTGCTCTACACTCTACACTGCTTCTTCCTCTCGAGGATAGGAGGCAGAGTACAACTACATGACGTCATGTTGCTCAGCCTTATAGCATGGAAGTTCGGAACATGCCTTGCCGAGAGGGAAGAACAAAGAGACAGGTGCAAGGAGGAAACAGACAATACAATCAACAAGGTGGGTGGAATTCGCCACGATGGAGACGTCTGTGGTGTGGCAGCACAATCATGTCGACAAGATACGACTTGTTCATTTGACGTGTTCACTGAAGGGTCCCATGAGTCGAGATGCTGAGGTGAGCACCGTGGAACGGAGCTGTACGAGGCCCAATCGTGGCTTTGTCAGACGGTAGCCAGCTGCTACTATATCATGGTTCCAATGACTAGGCAAGACGAGCCGCCTAGCCCTGTCGACATGTCCTCCAGGGAGACCAAGACCAGGACAGACAGATGAAAATCCTTTGAGTTGTGAACCCAGGCTGTGTTCTGGTGTGCCAACTGCAAAGAGGAGACGCCCCATCAGAGTGTTCAATGTTCCTTTTGACTTGTGCACGTGGCAGGTTGATGTCGAGTGAAGTTCATGCATGCCTATTGAATTGACTCTGGTGGATTTCTCTCCAGATGCGCCCACGAAGCTCCAAGGGACCATGGGGTAAGTTAGGCGGTATTGGCTGTGGTTCGACAGGCTTGTGGGCGGGTCTTCTGCTGTGGCTTTGCACGGGTGGCCTTTGATTCGTGGGGGGGCTGTGTCTTTGCGGCGATGCTTGGTCAAAGAGAATGGCACACTCTTGACCGGTTGCCCCTCTGGTTTCTTTCGACAGTCACAGCACGACCAAGCCAAAGAAGGGCTTCTTCACAGCCGCCTTTTGATTTCCCCCTTCAGCTGCTGCTCCTGCGCCAGCTCCTCCAGGACGCACAAAAGGATTGACGATTTGGAGAGGCCTGACAGCCCCGAGGATTGGCTCGACCATCTGTATCGCGACACGAGAGAGAGAGAGAGAGAGAGAGAGAGAGAGAGAGAGAGAGAAAGTGTGGGAGAGAGACAGAAGTGAGAAGCTTCGTGTATTCTCCACTCTTGATCCCCCAAAGGGTGCTGGGGCTGTCGCCGCGCTGTTGTGGCTGGGGGAAGACGACGCTTTGCCCACAGCCTGGCTCTGTTTGGACAGTGGATTGCCCAGCAGAACTCCATTGTCAGCCGCAGCCCAGCTTCTCCAAATTCCCTCGACTGCCACCCCACCCCCCAGTCCAGCCTATCTTTCTCTCTCCCCCCCCAGGATTGTCGGTTTCCACTCCATGTGATTTTTTCAGCTTTGCAACAATAACCCACATGTTGGCAAGCTCGTTCTCCAAGTAAGCTTCTCTCTGCTTGGACTCCTCCACTCTCTTTTGCAGCTCGGACTCCCTTTGGTCCTTCTCCAGAAGAGCAGCTTCATAGGCTACCTCTCTTTCTCGGATTATTGCCATCTCTCTTCTCATATCAACACCAGGCGAGATGCTTTGGTCTTGACGCTTTATGTGGCTCTCCCTCCGTCCATTACGGATCATACTGCTGCTGTTCCTGCGTGGCGTTTGGGAGTTCCTAGAAGCTGCCAGCTCGGCAGTGAGCCTCTCATTATGATTCATGAGCTTTGCGACTTCTTCTGACAAGGCCTTGAGCTCAACAGCAGCAGCTGAGGCGAGGCCCTTGGTGTAGGAACTGTCCTCAGCCAGCTTCTGATTCCGAAGTTCTAACTGTTGGTTGGACTCAGTTAACTCAGTCACCTTTCGGTTCAATTCTTCAATCTTGGTGGCCTGTCTTTGCACAAGTGAGCCTTCATTTTTGTCAGTAAACAAATTATCTTCTTTTTCCAAGCCAAGTTCTCCAAGAGAGCTCTTCACTCCAGCAAATTTTTGTGAGTAGATGACTGATGGAATAAACTTTCTCAAATCCAGGCCATCCGAGTGATGTTGCCTCAAGGATGTTATTGTTTCTTGCAATCTTTCACACTCACGAGTCTTTTGGTTGAGCTGCTCTTGAATGTCCCGGTACCTGCCCGGGCGGCCGCTCGACCCCTATAGTGAGTAGTATTAGAATTGAATTCCCGCGGCCGCCATGGCGGCCGGGAGCATGTGACG